GGGCTCGCTCGAGAAAGGCGACGGCTCGATGGCGAGGGTGAAGCGGTTGCCGGCGAGGTTGCGGTATCCGTCGTGCGACGACGAGAGGCTCTTGGCCAGCGCCACGTACTTCTGGGGGGTCGACACGTGCGTGTAGAGCCACGAGGCGTGCGGCCTAAGAGCGGCGAGGGGGGGAGGGACTGGTGTCAACTGCTTGACGATGAAGCGCATCACGGCAAGCCCACGACGCGTGCTTGCGGCTGCAGGTGGACACTTTGGGTCCTCTCGGCTCCTCTCGGCTCCTCTCGGCTCCTCTCGGCTCCTCTCGGCTCCTCTCGGCCCCTCTCGGCTCCTCCCGGCAATCTCCCGGCTATCTCTGGGCACTTGCAGTTGCAGTGGACGATCCACTTTGGGTTGTCGGGGTGGAACTGCATCAGGTTGCCCACCACGCAGCCCGGGTCCTTTGGGCCGTAGTCTTGCTTGAGCTGCCCCATCTCGCCCGCCGCGTACGGCGACACGCCGCACGAGAGGCCGCCCACCTATCCTCAAGCATGAGTCGCGATGAGTGGGTGTAAGGAGGGCTCCCTACTGCGAGAGGCCGCCCACCTAGCCCGTGTCCCAGCGAGCGGTGTGAGTGGTGCGGTGTGAGTGGTGGTGCAGTGGTGCATCACTGTCGATCGAGACGCTCGCAGAGAGGCCGCCCGGCCCGCCAGCTACGTCTCCACGTCGCCATCTCTGCCCATCTCTCCCCATCTCTCCCCATCCCTCCCCATCTCTCGGCGTACCAGCTCGCACGCCAGCCAGTACGTCTCCTTGTCGCCGTGCAGGTTGGCGTACAGCTCGTGCCGGTACCTAGAAGGTTCCGAGAAGGCTCCGAGAAGATTCGCCGTGCAGGGTGGCGCACAGCTCGTGCCGGTACCTAGAAGGTTCCGAGAAGGCTCCGAGAAGAATCGCCGTGCAGGGTGGCGTACAGCTCGTGCCGGTACCTAGAAGGTTCCGAGAAGGCTCCGAGAAGATTCGCCGTGCAGAGTGGCGTACAGCTCGTGCCGGTACCTAGAAGGTTCCGAGAAGGCTCCGAGAAGATTCGCCGTGCAGAGTGGCGTACAGCTCGTGCCGGTACCGCTCGTGCAGCGTGTAGAGCGTCGCGATGACCTGCGGCGCGCGCGACTTGCCGAGGAGAAGGACGGACGAGTCGATCGCCTAGAGGGCTCCGAGAAGATTCCGAGAAGGCGCGCGCGACTTGCCGAGGAGAAGGACGGACGAGTCGATCGCCTAGAGGGCTCCGAGAAGGCTCCGAGAAGGCGCGCGCGACTTGCCGAGGAGAAGGACGGACGAGTCGATCGCCTAGAGGGCTCCGAGAAGGCTCCGAGAAGGCGCGCGCGACTTGCCGACGAGAAGGACGGACGAGTCGGTCGCGTGGTTCGAGTCGCCCGAGAGCATCGGCGACGCGAGCAGCTCGGCCGACGGCTGCCACGGCCACGGGAGCCTCTGGCGCGCGTACTGCCCGCCCACCGACCGCAGGAACTCTGGCGACGCGAGGCGGCGGCGGACGAGCTGCCGCAGGAAGCGCGACGCGTCCTGCGGTGCACGCGGCACGGGGGTGGCGTGTCGTGCGCGTGTCGTGGGCGTGTGACGATGCTAAAGGAACGGGGGCCGTGGCATTTGCTCGTGTGGGCGTGTCGTGCGAGCGTGTCGTGTTGGCGTGTCTTGGCCGTGTCGTGGGCCGTGTCGCCTTGACGGGCTTGCCGGGGATCTGCATCCGCATCCGGTCGCGGAAGAGGAGGATGCCGTCGTTGACGAAGGCCTTGGTCGAGAAGAGGCGGGCCGGGTTAGGGGTAGGGAAGAGGGGGCCGGGTTAGGGTTAGGGGTAGGGTTAGGGCTAGGGTTAGAAGGCCTTGGTCGAGAAGA